ACTAAATATTCCAAATACTCCTAGATAAAGAGCTCAGTGTCAAAACACTCCATATTTTGCAACACAACAACATCTATGCTTGGTATTTTCATTTTCTCCAAACAAAGAGCTAAGTGCTGCAACGCAATCCAAATTAGCGCCGTAGCACTCATAACGCCTCCTCGACATAGTGCATTCCTTCAACTATAGACTTCAAATTTTATTTAAATTTATAACAACTTTGAATTAAACATGCACATAAAGGTTATGAAATTCTTATAAGTTTTGTAGCAAAAGGAAATTCTTATAAGTTTTGTAGCAAAAGACATAACATCCTTCCCTCATTATAGAAAAATGTCTTCCCCGACTTTTACACATGAACAATCACATAGAACGAATTTGGATATAGTTGCCTTATTTATGCTTCATTTCCCATCTCTCTCTGGCGTGTGCTTTCAGTGCATCTTAACTATAGGGATTAATTTATTCTTTAACTGTTTCACATCATATGCCATAATGCGTTTAATTCTTTTTATAAGTCAAATTAGCCTAAACTTCAACTTCATTTTTTAAAAATTCGTTGCTCAATATTAAAAACCCATTTACTTAGTACTAATACAAGCCTATAAGCATATCTCCTAATTTTTTCAATAAGATTAAAAGGTTTTATGTACTTGGGACTTTACTTATTATCTTTAGCAAATCTTCTTATTTATTCTACTGGGCTTACTTTCAGAAAAATTAATCTCCAACTTTAAATTCAATAACTCTATGCTTCAGGTCATAATACTTTCTTTGTCTATCTTGAGCTACATCAGGCCTCTTTATGATCCATCTGATCTTCTCACTACCATTATCAAACACTTTAAATCCCATAAACTTCCTTTCACTCACTTTGATTTAAGCCAATGACAACCTTCATTTTCTTCCATAACAAATTTTATACGTAGCCATGCCAATTATGGATTGGAAACAATTATTCTAAGCAATTCAATCAAAGTAATATATCTTTCAGCTTCCCCAAAATCCAATAAGCAGTTATAAAAAAAATCTCAGGCTTCATTTAAAATAGCATTTTGATAAAATTACTTTGTTAAAAATAACATATATTTTAAAGGCAACGGCTTCAAAATTTTTTTAAAATATTGTTTTTAAAATTTTATTTTTGAAAAAATATTTTAAAAATTAAAATTGAAAAAATAGCTTTAAAAGCAAAAAATAAAAAAGCTAGACTTCATATTGAATAATTTTTTCTCATTATTTTAATTGTTTTTTTACTATAAACTACTTCACTAATAAATCTTTCTCAAACCATATCACTTTATTTCATGCTATTTATATATCTAACACATAAAATATTAATATTACATACCTACTACTCATATACAACATTAATATCAAATATATCACTCCTATGATTCATTTTTACCGTTCATATATATCATCCTATAAACTTTAATATTTCATTCAATGCACCCAAATTTATTATATGGGCGGTAGTCATGCAATATTAATATTTTAGATGTTGAATATGTAAACAACATGAAAGAAAGTGATATGTATGTAAAACCCCCAATAATGTTTTGGGAGATTTACACACATACCACTTTATTTCATGCTATTTACATATCTAACATCCAAAACATTAGTATTACATGTCTAACATTGATATAACAAATTTTGGTGCATGGAATGAAATATTAAAGTTTATAGGATGTTATGAATGGTAGAAATGAATTATAGGAGTGTTATATTTGATATTAAAGTTGTATATGGGTGGTAGATATGTAATATTAATATTTTGGGTGTTAGATTTGTAAATAGCATTAAATAAAGTGGTATGTATGTAAATTTCCCAAATTCTTTATTCGTCGTAATATCACTTTTGAGTTCTATAAGGGGGCTTGGGAAGTTATCGGCTTCTATGTCATAAATGCGGTTAAAAACTTCTTCCACACTGGCCACCTTCCTAGATGTGCTAAAGCTATCGTTATTTCTCTCATTCCCAAACACCAACATGCTGCCAATATCTCTAACTACATGTTGATTTCCCTTTGCAATGTCTTCTACAAGATTATCGCAAAGATCATTGCTAATCGGCTTAGATGTGTTGTGCCTTACATCATTCATAAGAGCCAAGTAGGGTTCATTCCGAATAGAATTTCTACGTACAACATTATCATAGCCAATGAGATGCTAAAGGAATTCAACGACAATTCTTCTACAAAATACTTTTGTGCGAAACTAGATATTCGCAAGGCGTTTGACTCAGTGGCTTGGGACTTCCTTCTCACTAGGCTACGGGTGAAAGGTTTCCAGGATCTTTTTATCTTTTGGATCAGAAGCTGTATTTATGATGTTCCTTTCTCTGTTTGCATTAATGGGGCGCTTGAGGGGTTTTTCATTTCTAAAGCAGGCTTAAGACAAGGTTGCCCTTTGTCCCCTCTTCGTTTTGCTATTGTCATGGATGCATTTTCCTCCACCTTTGATGCCATACCATTTACTGGTATTCCCTGTGCCGCTAGCTCTTTCAAGCACCTTCTTTATGCTGACGATGTGCTGATTTTTGGGACGACTTCCATTAATAATGCCATGGTGTTATCCAACTTCTTAAAGGTTTTTGCTAATGCATCGGGTCTCCATATCAATCATTCCAAGTGCTCTATTTTGTTTTCTGATAATTCCCTCTTGGCCAATGACATCTCCTCCATTTTGGGTTTTACCCCTACCGACCACTCTCTCAAGTATCTGGGTCTCCCTATCTCTATCAAAAAACTTAATTCTGCTCACTTCCAACCACTGCTGAGTAGAATTTCTACTCTACTTGATGATTGGAAAGCAAAATTTCTTTATTTTGCAGGTTGTATCCAATTCTTAAGATTTACTATTACAAATACATTGGCATACTGGATAAGAGGTTCGATTATACCTAAATCATGCTAAAAATTCATTGAGAAGCTATGCTCTAGGTTCCTTTACCATGGCACCACTAAGGGGAATAAGCTACATCTGGTAGCTTGGCACAATACATGCTTGCCAACTTGCCTTGGCGGTCTCGGGATCCCGAATTTAAAATCTTTAGCACACGGTTTTGGCTGCTCTTTTATTTGGAGATGGTATAATTCTAACTCTCTGGTCTTTGACTGGCTCAAGAACAAATATCTTTCACCATGGAAGCAGACCCCCCTAAATGCTCCAATTTCTGGAAATTTATTCATGCTGTAGCTGCTAAGGTAAAAAATGAGTTTCGTTTTGTGGTTATGGCTGAAGGTTACAAATTTTCTTTCTTTTGGGACCCTTGGATTGATGGGAAAATGCTTTCTGATTTCATTTCTCCGTTGCCTGGATTATGTGATAAAGCCTGTAACTATATTACTGGGGGAACTTGGTGTTTACCGAACAGCTTACCATCCTGGGTGTAACAAATTATTCATGCTATTCCTCTTTCGGCTACTGCTGTCCCTTTACTCTGAAAAAATCAGGAAAAATCGTGTTTTAGGACCTTTAGGATGAACTTTTTTGTTGGCTGGCAAACTCAAGCATGGCATAAATTTATTTGGCATAAGAGATATGCTCTTAGGCATTCTTCTTATGCTTGGATTTTGATTCGGAATGGTCTAAAAACAGCTGACGTTTTAGCCAAAAGAAACATTTTCATTCACCCAATCTGTCCCCTTTGCAAATGTGGTGATGAAAGCGGTGCTCATTTATTTTTCTCTTGTGATTATTCCTATGCTGTTATCACTCATCTCCTCCCGGTTTTGAACTGATTTTTCCTGAGACCTACAATACTGCAACATTTTGAGTTTCTGGAAGAGATTATCACCCTTACTGCTGCGGAAAAGAATTTCTGCTATTTTGTCATTTGCTGTGTCATTTATTTCATATGGAGGGAAAGGAACGACCGAAGATATGTGGGATCTCATCTTTCTTTGCATGAACTGTGCAAAAAGATTGCTTTGGTAATTTCATGCAAAACTTCAAAATGGAAAAATCTGGACCTGATTCAAATTGCGTTCCCTACTTGTTTTTTTGCTGGTGGTGCTTCTTTGAATTTTTTGGGACGATGATGATTGGAACTGGCCTGTTGCCCCTTGGATGGCCTTCGGCTCCAGCTCTTACGGGTCTACTCATTGGAATGGCATGTTAATTCTGCAACCCGTTTACCTGCCCGTGCTGGGCCCTTTTGGCAACCGGGGCAACCTTTTGCTGCCGTTGTGGGGACAAATGAGCTTTTGGCTTTGATCTGCTTGCTTGGCTGGTTCCAATTTGCCTGAGTCCATCGCTTTTCCTCCTCCCCCTCTCATTGGGTTGGAGATTTCTCTGGTGATGGGTTTCCCATTTTGACAGTTTGATCTGCTGCTGCTTTACTTCAAGTTTCAATTTTGTTTCATGTACCACAATTTTGATTTTTCAATGATCTTTTGTATGATGGGTGGTATAGTTGGGGTTTCATTCTTTTTGACCTTCATAAGTGTTTTGTCTTACTTATGTCGAGTAGTTTTTATATGTAATCTCTTTTACTTGTAATCTTCCTCATTTGATAATATATGGGCTTTGGCCCCTAATTTTTCCAAAAAAAAAAGTCGTAATATTTCTCGGGTTAATAGACACGTCAGTGTTAATTAATTTGGAGTGATTATGAGTAACTGTCGCAAACCCACAATCATAACCTTTAAAAACGAGCAGAACGTGATGGCAGCCTTATTCCTATTCGAAGAAGATGATTCCGATTATAAAATAATGACACCTTTATTCTTAATTATATAGCGTAATTACAATACAGTAAAGACGGATGTTAACTAATTAATTAAGGTGCCACCGAGGTTAATTACGCTAAGTATCCATGGGTATTTCTGTCATTTTAAACGAAAGTCTCGCAGGTTCGCAAAAATGCTTGCGTGGTGGCGGAGTATAAATTTTTTTTTTTATTATTTTTTAATGTTGAAATCCCTCTTATGTCTCCGACGTCTCGTTACCGTCTTCTATTCTCCACTCATAAGTCATAAGTCGCTGCTTGCAATCTACTCTTCTATATTTGAGAGAGAGAGAGAGAGAGAGAGAAGAAGCACATGAACCATCTGCCAGAAGCTAAGCTACCTTCGCTGAGCCTCTTCATCAGCGGAAGACCTTTCGCCATGAAGAATTGATGCGAGAGAGAGGGAGGGAGAGCAATGCCATTGTGAAGGTATAGGATTTCGATGGGTAGTTGCGACGAAGGCGCCGGAGTACGGCTGGTAGGGTACTGATGCGATTGGAGGCCGATCCTCTCCTTCTCCATCTTTTAGGTTTTCCTTGGGACTGATCCGGCTTGTGAAGCCAGGAAATAGGGTGCCGTGTCGTGCTTCGACAGAGATGGGTTGTTAGGGGAGCATCGATGGCATTCCTTCCCGCTGCATTGCATGGATTTATGGTAATCGTTGGCTTTCAGCGATTTGGTGCGGCCTCTCAGTCGGTTGCTAGGTAATCGACTTCTTGTATGTGCGTTTAGTTTTTGCATTAAAATTTTAACTGGAAGTTAGATCTAGGAATGTCTCTATTTTGTAGATCTAGGATGATATCTGGTTCATGCGGTGGGTTTCTGCCTATAGATTCCTGCACTAGTTTGTTTCTGTTGTAGGGAATTCTGTTGATATGTTTAATTGAAGTGATCCTGTGTTTGAATCGCTGCAGGGTTTGAGGGTTCTGGGTTTTGGAAATCTAACAGATGGTTCATGCCTTCGTGGGCCGTAGATTACAGGACAGCTTTGGAGAGATATTTACCAGTAGTGGCTAGAGAAGATGTACTCCAACGTTCCTCTGGATTGTGCGTTTTTCCAGCTCTCCCCAAGACGGACAAGGTGTTTTGGCGCTTGAAAATGGAATTTGGGTTTCTCGTTAATCTTTTCCTTATAGAAAGCATATATATTTATGCCTAACTCCCTTTCGCTGGCTGATCTTTTCAGGTGTGAGTTATTTGTTTCAGCAGATGGCAAGACTGAGAAACTTGCATCCGGTTTCTTGAAACCATTTTTGACCCATCTGAAGGTCGCCGAAGAACAGGCTTCTCATGATGTTCACGTGATCAATCTAGAAGTTGGAAGAAGGAAAAATGCAGCCATGTGGTTCAATAAAGGAACTGTCGAGAGGTTTATAGATAAATTCAACATTTCCTTCTTGTTGTTCCAAAACTGTTTATCTTTACCTTTAATGTACGTTTGAATTAGTCTAAAGTGAAGAGTCTAAATAATTCAATTTAGTTTCTTTACAGGTTTGTTCGGTTTGTTAGTACACCGGAGGTATTGGAGCTGGTCAATACACTAGATGCAGAAATGTCACAATTGGAAGGAGCTAGGAAGATGTATTCTCAGGTATGAACATATGCTATATTCTTGATTCAACTTTCAGTTAAGATTGATGTTTTAAATTTGATTGTATAAACACCTTTTGGAATGCTTTTTTTTTTTTTCAGGGAGCAAGAGACCAGCTTTCTGGTATGTGTGATAGGTTCATATTTATGTACCTTGATAATGATGAGAGCTGTTGAAAGAATTATATATTACAAATTCTTAGCTTGCTGTATTGCATTCTGCTGATGTTTTATCATTAATTAAATTGTAAAACGCACTCTCCAACGGGTGCTTTGCTCCCGATATATGCATCTATTTGTATTAGTTTTTTTGTTACTCTTGCTGAAGTTATTATCTCACAAACATAAGCAGTAAAATTATCGACAATCTGCAGGAACATTAAATGATGACACTTTCCAAGTCTGTTTTTTGCATCTTTGAATGATGGCATATGATATTTGCCAAACTGTTAAATTGAGAGAAGTATGATACATGCTTTAATTAGTAGTGTTGCCCAAGTGACCTAAACATTTTTCTTGATTAGAAGTTTATAACTGTTCATGGGAACATTTCAACTTAGTGCAAGACCAACTGGTTTAATGATCAATGTTTTTTCATTTTTTTTAAATATTTTCTTCTCCCATTTTATGAACTAAAAGATTTTTTCCTTTTGATTCATTCCAATACATGATGCCTCATATAAGGAGGTCCAAAAATAAAAAAAATGAAAAGACAGAAATGCCCTCAGGGCTACATAAGCAAAACAATGCCCTCATGGGCAAACTCGGAAAACGAAAAGTACATATGAAATAAGCTGTAAATAAATCAGAAATAGAGGCTCTGGATCGTAGCCGTCGATCTGCGTCGCCGGCGATGATACACGTGTCGAAATCTGATGTCCCCATCAAAAAAAGAGTGGGTTAATGAGCTAGATCGAGCTTATGTCATGATGTTGTAATTTATTGGACCGATTGGGTGGGCCAAGACATACTCTACACAAGGACTTGTTATTAACGCTAGAAAGAAGAAAAATTATGTTGAAATTATCACTCAATTTACTTTTTTTGGACGTTTTTTTAGGTTTAATGATAAAAAGTAGTTAAATCTTTCTTAAAAGTTTGTTTCTAGAAGTCATTTATCTTTTTATGGAAAATAGTTTTTGAAGAAACAATCAGACTTCCATCTCATGTACTATACAAACATGCCTACGCTGAATTTTAAAATCAACTCATTATTGATCTGCCGCCTGTTAGCTACTTCGAGGAAAGTAAGTAAGAACTGCTATGCAGTCTTTAAGAACTTAATAGTGATTCTTTTCACTGAGGTCATGCAGGAATAGGCGTTCAGAATTTAGATGCTTGTATTCATGATAACTAGATGAGTCACTTATGGTTAGAGCATGTTAAATCACCTTATCAAAATTCAAGCAATGAAAGTGCGAATCTTTTGAATATTTATATTGAAAAAAATTGCAGAGGATTGGTTGAGCATTTTATTCCATTATGTATAGTATTTATATTTTAAAAAAAAATGTATAGTATTTATACAATCCTAGAATAGCTTATGATAAGAAGCATGTAAAATAATGAATAATATTATAGGATAATTATAATAGTTCATAATTTGATGGGTAGGCAAAATAATAGCTATAGGATAGTTCTAATAGTCCACAGATTCATAAGGTAGTAGTGATGCCATAGATCAATAAGGTGGTGGCAAAAGAGGAAGGAAATAGGGTGGAAGTCTTTGTGAGCACGAGTCCCAACAGAACAAACTTATCTGAGTGTTTTACAAATATTAAAAAAGTTTATAGATGTTTAGATAGTTTTTTTTAGAAGACTAATCTATTTTTTTGGCAAGTCACTAATTGGAAACATAGAGTAGAATTTTTAGTTCCCAAGGCAGTGTCTTTGAGTGCACTAACCCTCTATGCTTTTGCAAATTGCAATCCTGGTTTGTTGTAAAAAATATACGTGGTTTCTTATAAATATTCAAACTATAACTTGTTTGCTAACTTTTAAACATTAGCTACTTCAAATCTCCGCGTAGTTTCTCCAAAGCTTCTTGTTGATCACTTTAGTTTGGGTTCCTAATGAAAGGGATGCTATGCCTGAAAGCAATAACTCTGGACACGGTAGAGCATGATGGGTACTTCCCCGCTTTGCATAGTGGACAACATAGTCATTTTATGTGTTCACGACATTCATTTCTTCATTTTCCTAAGTACTATGTTTTTAAAATCATTATTTGTTGCAATTTTTCTGCCCTCACTACTTTGGATTTTTCATAATCTATCCCCCCCACACACACACGCACGCACGCACCATTTTTTATTCCTTTTTCTGTGGTATGGATGACCTAAAATCTGTGGATTACTTGACTAATATTTAGTTGCTAGAACCGTTCGTATTCTTACGTCCAAGCTAATTCGTTTTTGTAGGAGATAAACACCATTCATTTCTTACTGCAGATTGCCATTCAACTCACTCTTTTAATTACACATTGTCCAGGTGAAAGTGAATCTAAATCTGCTGCAGCTGCAGATGCAACAAAGTGAGCTTCTTGTCTCCCTTAGTTAGTTATAATAGTAACAAGGTTTATGCCTAGTTATTATGACATTATGTTTGCTTTAACTGGGTGATGCAATTGAGATGGACCTGCACCATCCAACAATAGTGTTTTGCTCATTTAGCCTGATATCGACGGTTTAAATGAACTCAGCGATATGTTGCATTATTACCTAATTTAGTTGGCTGGAAAGATCTGGTTGATAAGAGAAGTAGATCTTCGTGTTATCAGTTTAACTCTTCCAAAAAGCCTTTCAACCATATCATCTCCTTACTGACTCCATGTTAACTATGTTTTCAACTTTAACAGTAAACACGACAATTTATCTTCTGTAATTGTGGCACCCAATTGATTGCATTGTCACATAGAAATATAGAATGTACATGTATTTAATGGTTCTTGTGTTTAGGTTTCCACATAGATCTGAAATATTGTAGCACTGTAATTTTAACTTATATACTTTAGAGAATAATTAATTGTCCCTTTAAGATAGTGCAATATCTACTTAATAACTTCTTAGTCTCTTTTTCCTGGGCAAGAGATGTATATTCTAATTATTCCCATTGCTTCTGCAATATATGGTCTTGTACTGATCATTGCTTACATGAGGTATACCATGACTAAAGTATGTGGGACTTCTGCCGTGTACTTTTTTTTCTCTTTAGTTTTTAGAATATATATTTTTCGGACAATCTGAAGTGGCTAGTGAATGGTGCACTTACATTCTTTGCCTTTATCATATTGAATTTGCCTGTCATTTTCTTAGTACACTGATTGTGAAAGTTTTAATGTTCCCATGGCCTTCTTGTGATTTATTCCAATCTCTAAAATCATTCTGGAGAAATCATTTTGGCTTTCTCCAAAATTTTAATGTCAAAGTAGCTAATAATATTAAAATTGTTGCAAATGATGTGCTTGGAGTATAAAAAAAGCTCATAATAGTAAAAATACTTGGAGGCGGTGGAATCAAAATGTGCAAGAAAATATATAAAAAAAGAAGCTTTATTATAAAAATTGGTTTAGATATAAAAATCAAAAAATTGGGAAAGATATAAAGTGGCCTGTAAGGAGTCTAAAAAAGTGACGTGTGATGCAAATAATTCAACTTTTATTAGAAGATGATATTTAAGAAAGGTGGATGAGATATTTTGATAAGTTTTTCAATGAAAATTGTGAGAATACGATGACTTTAGTGATTTTAGCACCCTAAATGAAAATACATATTTTTATTTTTATTAGCATATTAGTAAAATCGAATTTAGAGAGGCTTTAAAGAAAATGAAGTGTGGAAAAGCTGTTGGACTTGATGATATTCAATAGAGGTGTGGAAATGCTTAGGAGATGAAGGAGTTTCTTTGCTTACAAAACTTTTCAATATTATTTTGAAGACGAAAAATATGTCAAATGAGTGAAGAAGCGTGTTGATTTTTATTTTTAAGAATAAAGGTGATGCACAAGAGCGTGTGAATTATTGAGGAATTACGTTAATGTGCCATACAGTAAAACTTTGAGAGAGAGCTATTAAGCATAGGTTACGATGTGATACTAATGTTTCTCAAAATCAATTTAGATTCATGCCGGGTAGTTCTATTGTGGAAGCTATACATTTATTGAGAAGTTTGATGGAGAAGTATAGGGAGAATATGGAGGATCTATATATGATATTTATTGATTTGGAGAAAGCTTATAATAAAGTTCCAAGAGAAGTGTTATGGAGAGTTTTAGAAAAGAAAGGGGTTAATAATGCTTATACTCAAGTCATTAAGGATATGTATGCAGGAGTTGTTACTTGTATTCAAACACGAGGAGGTTGGACCAAGTATTTTCCTATTTTAGTTGGATTACATCAAGGATTATCTTTAAGCCCATATCTTTTTTGCTTTAGTCATAGATATTCTTACTAGACATTTGTAGGAGGATGTACCCTAGTGTATGATTTTTGCTGATAATATTATTCTTGTTGATAAGACTATAGAGGTAGTTGAAGGTAAACTTGAATTATGGAGGTCAACCTTAGAGTGTAAAGGTTTTTGTTTGCGTTGATCTAAAATTGAATACATGGAGTGTAATTTTAGCAATAATATATCTAATGGGGGGATTGTGATTTTGGGAGATCAAGCCATTAATAAGAGTATACATTTTACATATCTCGGGTCTATTGTCAGAGCAATTTTGAAATATATGGGGATATTATTAGCATAATTCATGTTTGATGGTTGAAGCGGTGGAATGCATTGGGCCTATTGTGTGATAGAAAATTACCCCTCAAACTTAAGAGAAAATCTATAAAAAGTGGTGCTGAGACTTATAATGCTTTATGGTGCAGAATGTTAGCCATTAAAAGAGAAGCATACAATTAAATTAAATGTTATAGAGATGATGATGCTCAGGTGGATGAATGTCTTTACTGTTAGAGATAGAATGTGAAATGAGCATATATGTGAAAAGGTTGGAGTAGCTCCAGTGATAGATAAGATTAGAGAGTGTGTCCTTAGATGATTTGGTCACATAAAATGTCGGCCTTTTGATGACCCGGTTAGGAGGCTATATGTATTAGATTTGGCCTATGTTATGAGAGGTAAAGTTAGACCTAAAAAGATCTGGCCTATGTTATGAGAGTGGGCTTGTCTAAACATCAAGCAATGACACGGCTTTTTCTCTAATTCTTGCACTTTTTTTAGGCCGTGATCATGTCAATTGAGCTTTAGCATCTTGTACTGTTGTTGTTAATCTAAATTATGTTCTTTATGCTTTGCAGGAAAGAGCTTCTCAGAGCAATTGATGTACGGCTTACTGCTGTAAAGCAGGACTTGGCTACTGCTTGTGCTAGGGCATCAGCTGCTGGTTTCAATCTAGAATCTGTGTCTGAGCTACTCCTTTTTGCGGATCAATTTAGGGCAATTCGCTTGAGGTGAGCACTAACTCTATGTTGTTATCCTTGGCTGACCGGACCTTTATGTATGTAAGAAATTACATAAGCAGTGGCAAATGTTTCGTCATTTTGGAATTTTCTACATCCTCTGATTGAATTGCCAGCATATTATTGGATCTGTTAGCTTTCTGCTTGGTTGATTATTATCATGAAAGTGGAGAAAGTAACGCCCTGATTTCTTTGTTATTGTCTTCGCATGTAGTGAAGCAAGCAAAAACTTTCTATCTCTACCTCGACGGAGACCAGAGTTGATTAATGATGAGCAGTCACTGCCGTCACCAGCTATCCATCTGCAGTATAAGAGTTTCAATGATGCTAATGTTCGTTCGTCTTCTGGCTCTGACATGTCAATAGATGAAGCAGAAGTTGAGCAGACGGATCCTGCCAGATCAGCAACTTTTCAATGTGGTGATGCACAACTGCGTAGCATCAGTCCACACCAACAACAACAGCAAGCTGTAGGTGTGACAGCTGCTGCCACCACTGAGCGGTTGAAGCCAGATTCACAGCATTTGGTACAAAACGAGATGGAAAAAGTGGATGATACAGCTTCTACTGCTGTATCTTCAGCCAAGTCTGCTCAGCAGGCTGGAGGAGGATCAAAGCGACTGACCGTACAGGATCGTATAAATCTTTTTGAGAGCAAGCAGAAAGAACAATCTGCTAATCCTAATGTTGGAGGTAGCAGCTTTGGTGGCCCCATTGTTAGTAGATTGGCTGGAACCAGAGGTGAGCACCGTAGGAACCCATCTGATGTTTCTGTGGAGAAGCTGGTTTTGAGGAGATGGAGTGGTGCTAGTGACATGAGTATTGATTTCAGCAGTAACAGCACCAGCAGCATTGACCGGAAAGAGAGTGGCGGCACTGCAGGAACTCCAACATCTTCTGACAACTTGCAGCATGAAGTCACTACTAGAAAATCTGAGAATGATGATTGTGGTTTAATAGAGGCATCTAAATCTTATGCTAGGTTGAGTTATAAAAACAGCTCAGTGGAAAATTCTTCATCAGCTTTTTCTTCATGTCAGGATCATGACAGAACGCTCCCTAAAGTTGAAACTCAGACCAGTGATGCTGTTCATGAAAAAGTCAATGTTTCAGCCTCCAAGGAACCACCTGGATTAACCAAGGAGGAGCAACCTAACACTTGGACCCATACGAACTGCTCTCTGGAGGGTTTAGAGCACGGTGGTATATGTGACCAAGTTGTATCTCAAAGCAGAACAAAAGTTTTTTTCAACTCTAGAGAGGTTGCCAGATCAAGAGAACCTGCAGCCTCTCAAACCAATTTCAGGTCTGCTTCAGAGGACCTTGTAAGTCATATTCCTTCTAGAACACCTCTAGCTTTAGCAGTGCCATCTGAACCAAAAGATCAAGCTAGTCTCCTGGCCCAACCTAGAAATCAGATAGAAGTAGATGAACTTGCAGTGAAAACTCAACCTACCTCTGTGTACAAATTTAGTTCGTTCAGTGGAAAAATGGAAGATACTGGACCAAAATCTATGTGTGTCTCAGATTCCCAAATCCAGTTTAAATCTTCCATGGGGAAGATGGAAGGCATCTCCGCAAAGGGTGACTCTGGGCATCCTGAAAACCAGGGTAGCAGTTTTGATGAGAAACTGGTGGCAAGACCGGCAACTATTACAGCTGCTCAGGTACCATCCAAAGTTAATTCTGCTAAAGCACGACAGGGTTCTGCTTCGGTGGGATTGAGATTTTCTGGGAAGACGTCTGGAACCGACAAGAAGTTTCAGGGAAAAAGAGATGAAATAGTTCCTAGCGAAGAAAGTCATCCACAAACATTCCAGAGCAGGAAAATTAATGAGGGCATGGAAGCTCTTCCTTTTTCACTTGAGGGGTCTCAAACTGCAAGGCCAAATAAGGATAATCATGAGCTTAATGATGTACTTCACCTGAAGGCTGAGGAGTTGGAAAAGCTTTTCGCTGAACACAAGCTCAAGAATCATAGTGATCATATAGCCTCTGCACGAAGAAGGAAAACTTTGAGTGATCATGCAACGAAGTCTGCGGAGAAAAGATTTGCACAATCTCCTCCTAAGCAAAAGCCTGAAAAGATCTTACTGAGGCAGGATTCAACCATGTCGGTTGAATTTGATTCTGACTTGTTGCCTGGAACGATTGAAAATTTTGACTTGTGTGATATCAAGGCCCAACAGGTGGGTAGTCACACTCCAACGGATGTTCCAAGAGGAAAACTCTATGGAAAATATATGCTGAGAAGGGATGCTAAATTGAGTCAGGAATGCGGATCCAAGAGGGCTCAGAAGGAAGCAAAGATGAAGGCAATGCATGACAGTCTAGAGCTTAGCCAAGCAGAGATGAAGGCCAGGTTAGCAAGTTTTTCTAATAGACAAAATTTGACAGATGCTCGTTGTCGAGCAGAGAAGATGCGGTCTTTCAATGGTCGTTCAACTCTTAAAGTTAAAGGCCAGGTACTAACCTAATATTCTGAGAGCATATATGTTCCTAGTGCTTTTATGCTAAATTTTTTAGATATTTCAGTTTTATGAGTCCTTGGATCAGTTACATTTGGTATTTTTGAATTTAAGAATTTGTGATGTACAATTATTTTGATTGGATAGCGCTTGTGATCTAACATAACCCATGTGGTCTATAGTAGGCACATATTCAATATAAATGTGATTGCTAGTAGTACGTGCATATTTATGTTTTATGGATATTTGGTTAGTTTAGGTTTCACATTAAACTGATAGAACTTATGCTATTATTGAATTTCCAACATAACTACCGTTATCTTAATATATTCACTATATATCAAATTCCTTATTACCATCTAACCTAAAATTGGTCTAAAGGTAGTAGTTTAATTATTATCTCGATATACATACAAAGGCACAACTCACTCTAAAATGCATGCTAAAGCATTGGCGTACCACAATGTGAATAAAATCACTCGATGTCAACTTAACTGATCAAGCATAATAGTTAAAGATTGGGTGTGACCCTTTTGGATCCCAATTGGTCAAGGCTCTGTTGGTCACCATCTTGATTCATGTTAAAGCATAGCTTACGTATACAGTTATGTTAAGGAATAAGTGCACCTGAAGAGGATGAATGCTTATATTGATATATGAGCTAAAGCACCAATGTACCCTTGGGGAATGAATGAACTGTTATATGCGCCATGGCCCCTATATACCCCAAGGGGAACAAATTCATATCTCACATCGCTATACATATTGAATCGTTGATGCTCCCCAAGGGATACAAACTTAGTCTCCAAAGGGTGATGCCATTGTTGCATTGCATCAAAATACACATGAAATGATCCAAATCCAAAGTGCCACGCAATCAAATTTTAGATTATTGATCCAAAGGTCCTGGATATTAATTTTTATTGGATAAATTGACAAACAAGGTTGAGATTTATTGAATGCAACTTGCTAGCAATAACAACAATTTCATTGCTACAGTACAAATTTGGGTTACTTCTGGGTTAGACTCAAACCTGACGTTTAAACCCATTTTGATACCGTTATATTTTATTGCTTTTGGATTTAATTTTTCTCAATTTTGGCTATGAATGTGAACATAGGCAGTTCACCCAACAATTTTGGGTGTGAGTTTGTTATGGGTTCAGACTTCAGGGTAAAAGGAGGATAAGATATTTATTAGTGTTTTTAGTCCCAAGATTTTTTAAGGTAATTTATGATATATATGGCAGTCAGAAGGGCTTTCCTCCAATAGAATTTGAGTACTTTGTGGTGGAATAGAAGGGCACTAATGGATGTAAAGAAGGTGACAATTTTTTCTTTCTACAACTCCGTTTTGTTGTGGGGTGTGAATGCAAGAAGATTCATGAATGATATATTTCTTTAAAAAATAAGAGGATATAGTTTGGTTAAAGTAATCTTTGGCAGTGGTGAAACGAAAATTTCTTATTTTTACTTTGAATTGGTTCTGGATCATGGTGTGAAAAATGGGAGAGAATAGTGCTAACATCAGGGGAGAAAGATTCATACTCAAGTGCAGTCGTCAATGAATGATACAAATCATCTGGCCCCTGAGATTTTAGAAATTTTTTAGGGTCCCCATATATCATAATGAATAAAGTAGAATGGAGTACGACATCTCTCATTTTTGTTTGGCAAGTAAACTCGTTTATACTTGGCTACTCACATGTTTCACAATGAAATGATTCATTTTTCAATTCATAAAAAAGTTTTGGATACATGTTATTTAAGACATCAAAAGATGGATGTCCTAATTTAAAATGATGAAGCCAAATAATAGATGAATGTCTTAGCAAGTTCAATCTTCTTTCACGATCCCTGGTCTTGAAATAAACAACAATTAGGGTTAAATATGACTTGATACTTATGATCATTGGTAAGTTTTTGTATGGAGATTGATTTTATGGATAATTAAGGTACGTGGAACACATTTTTAAGAGTGAGAGAGGAGATAAGGGTACGTCTCCTAGGCCTGCCACTGTGGTAAGAGAACTATCAACAGTGATGACTATCTTATCACTCGGGCAATGAGTGTAGTTAATGAAGTGGGTAATGTAGTATGTCATGTGATTTGTGGCTTCTGAGTTAATGATATGTAAACTTTTCAAATACTTTCTAAAGACACTTAATTTAATGGATGTAAGAAACTTACCTGAAAGTGCATGAGAAAAAGATGCAAGTGGTTTTTCAAATGATACTAGGAGTTATTTTAGCTTACAAATATCTTTGTTGTTGAGCTCTCTGAAGTTGAACTGTTTTTCTAGGCTAGATTAATTTGTTGTAGTGTTAGCTTGTGGTGCCCCTTTAATTTTTCCACTTTTTTTATTCTCTCATTGGGAGAAATTATTAAGTGCGAGTAGCAGCCAGAATAAACCTATGACCCCTAGGAGGGTCAATAGGGCCCACTACATCTGTTCCCCATCTCTCGAAAGGCCAAGAAGACACAGTGGGGTGCAACGAATTTGGAGGTTGATGGATAACTGTACTATAAATTTGGCATTGGTGGTATCTTGACTATCTTCTAGCGTGCTCAATGCAATCACGGATCATAGTCGGCCAATAATAACCAAGACGTTTAATCCTAACCTTCATCTTGGGTCCGGATTGATGAGCACCACAAAGTCCCTAATGTACCTCGCCCATGACCTTACGAGCCTCCTCGTTATTGAGGCAACGTAACCACATTTGGTCAAAAGAGCATCGGTACAAGGTTTCATTCACGTAGGAGAGTGACAGAGCTCTCTTTCTAATCTGAGTGGCAAGAGAGCGATCATCCGGAAGCCTACCACGCTTCAATTACTCAATAAAGGGGACTCTCCAATCTAACTCTTCCTCAACAACGAACACTGCGAAGGTTTGATCGGGAGAAGACAAGTCCGCGGGGCATAAGGCTTGCCGATACTGGACAACAATTGACACTAGGTTTCCAGTCGAGTCAGCCAACTCCTTAGCAAGTTTAGCTAGTCCGCTCTACCATTATCAGATCGAGGGATTCTAACTAAAGTTACTTCAGGGATTAAACACAAGAGCTCCATTGCCTTATTGTGATAAGTCAAGAGCTCATGTTTGAGAACTTTAAAGATTCCAGCTACTTTATTAATGATTAATTGGGAATCTCCAAAGATCTTTACCCGTACAATATTCATCTGAACGGCCAACTCAAGTCCCAAAATCAGAGCTTCATACTCAGCTTCATTATTAGTACGAGGTTCTGAAAGAGTGTAAGAGTAATAAAGGATGTGGCTTTCAAGAGACAAAAATAAGCCCCAAACTTACCCTAACCATAGGAGTTTTATAAGGACGTAGTGATTTGATGGAAGAAGCTCCATCAAAATAAAACTCCAAAGTAGGAGACTTTTGCTCTTCCACACTCATGACTAGTTCATCTGGCAAATCATCATTGAGTGGGGAATCTGCAGGGATCGGGTGAGCAACAAGAAAATAAGCTAGTGCCTTTCCTTTGACGGTCTACTGAGGGACAAAGGTAATGTCAAATTGCAGTAAAATCATGGACCATCATGCTAGACGATCTAACAAAGTCGGACGGGTCATCAGATACTGCAAAGGATTGACTCGAGAGATCAAACTGATCTTGTGTTAGAGCATGTAGTGTCTAAGCTTATGCACAACAAAGATCAAAGCTAAACATTGCTTTTCCATTGCGGGTATTTTAGCTCTATAAGAATCAAACGTCTGCTAAGGTAGTACAAGACATTCTCTTTGCCACGTGACTCATCCAAGGCCGTAGTGTAAAGAATTAACGGTCTACTTGGGATGGGTGTAGCTAACATAGGGGGGCTTGTCAGATAGCGCTTTATGCTCTCAAAGGCCTCATGACAATTCATATCCCAATGAAAGCATGCATCCTTCTTTGTTAAAGCAGCAAAGGGATGACATCTACCGACAAGGTTGGAGATAAATCTCCGCAAGAAAGCAAGCTTACCCTGAAAAGACCTCAACTGAGTAAGACTCTTGGGGGGTTTCAAGTCCACTATGACCTTGATCATGGAGGGATGAATCTCAATACCATGGTAGCGAATAATGAAACCAAGGAACTTCCCCGTAGTGACGCCAAATGCGCACTTTAGAGGATTCATCTTTAAACATGCTTGAGCAAGCGCTCAAAAACGATTCGTAGATCTCGAAGTTGATCACTACAGACTTTGCTTTTGATCACTAAATCATCCACATAGCATTCAACCTACTCATGAATCAACTCATCAAAAATGACAGCCATGGCATGTTGATAGGTGGCCCTGACATTCTTGAGGCCGAAGGGCATCACCTTATAACAAAACACGCCGATAGGAGTGCGAAAGGTAGTGAATCTCTCATCCTCAGGGGCCATCTTTATCTGATTGTAACCAGATGAACAATTCATGAAGGAAAAAATGCTATGGGACGAAGCAATATCAACAATAAGTTCGAGGATGGGAAGAGGAAAATCATCCTTAGGACATGCCTTATTCAAATCACGAAAGTCTATACAGATACAGATCTGACCACTCTTCTTCCGGACTGGAACAACATTGGCAAGCCAAGTGGGATACTTCTCTTCACGAATAAAATTAGCTTCTATAAGCTTCTTAGTCTCGGCGATTACCTATTGTTCAATCTCTAACATCATCCGATGAGGTGACTGTTTAATAGGGATTGCATCAGGACTAATGGCTAACTTGTGGACTGCTACTTCCGGATTTAAATCAGGCATCTCCGTATAGTTTCAGGCAAAGCAATATCTAAACTCAGAAGTGAGTTCAACATACTCTTGAGCCTCTTGCTCGGATAGCAAAGCACTATGAAAAATAGGTCGAGGATCTGATTCAGTACTCAAATTAATCTCACACAATTCATCCATGGCAGAACTGGCGCCATCTTCATCCATGGTATTTATATATCTATAATGATCAAGTTCTTGCCACAAGCCTTGAAGGAGAGTAGCATATTCAATTACGGTCTTGCTTCCTTATTTTGTGCTTCCCATCTTGATCTTAATTTTGAAGACTTGAGCATCATCCCTAGCTTTTGAGAAGGTTTGCCTGGCAGCATCCCATATGTCCTTTGCCGAACATAAGAACATGAAAGTATCACTAATTTCTGGAGTAATGGAATTTCACAATCATGACATAATCATGGAGTCTGCTTCATCCTATGCTCAGAAATTAGGATCTCCGATCTCCTTTTGGTCTTGCCCCAAGGAGGTGATTCATCTTTATTTTCCCTTTCAAGTAGGTCTTCATAAATTGAGATCTATTCAAGTAAGTCTTCCCATTTAAGTGAGAGGAAGTTTGCATATTTTGGATGTCACCTCTTCTTTGTTTCATCATAGAGTCCTCTATTTGATTGAAGCTTTGGGAGGAATTAGCTTCAGACATTGTGACGTAAAAGGATAGCGATGAAGAATTAGCGTCAAGGATCTAGATGCTCGGTCTCTCCAAGGTCTCCTTCTCGTGGAGAAATTGGACAATGGACTTATCTGTTCCATTAGCTAATTTTGTTGTCCAGTTTTTGCCATTGTTGTTTTGGCTCTTTAGAGTGCTGTCAAGGCTGTTTAGGAGGCAATGGCTTAGTTTTTTGCATAAGAAACTGCTATTATAAAACTTGGTTAAGTTAGAACTAGTTATTATTGACTAATTTTTATTTGACGACACTTGATTAGGAATAACTTCGTAAAGATGGTCTTGAATTTGTTCTAGATCTTCCTTGTTAGGTCGTGCCTTCTTGCTTCCATGTTCTATGACATAACAGAATGACTATATTGCTTTATCCTCTTAGAAGCTATCTTCTGGGCATAGTTCTGCATACAAATATAATTGCATGTCTTGACAAGCTCAAAACAGCCATGGAGTTTTTTGACATTAACTATATCATCATAGGTTGGTAACTCATGCATTGTGTCAACTTTATATGCTATTTCAGTCCTCTATGGAAATTCTTACAGATTCATTATCTTCTATATCCTTGTAGCCTTTTGGATTTCGTCGTCTGAATTAGCAATACCTTTATGGTGGTACTCCCCATGGGTAGGCAGATTGCTATGGTTCCCATAGTTTCTCATAGCACGAAGGCCATGAATTGATAGAACATCCCTTCTAGGATCTCTAAGAATCTTTGAAGTCTCCAATGTTTTTTGATGGCATGCCTTTGTTGTAGATTATATCAACCTGTTGACTTGTGATTGACTGTTGTTTTATTTAAATGGTGGGGTTGATTCTTATCATCATCATCTTTACCCATAGGCAGAACCTGCCATACTACTGCTAGAATAATGATCCAAAATTCTAGGGCCACATAATCAAAATTTAGATTATTTATCTAATGGCCATGGTTATTGGTTTGTAAGAGATAGATGCATAAATCATGTTGATATTTCTCTTTTTTTTTTTTCCCATTAAAGTTGCTGGAATTCCTCTGTAATTGAATGCATCTTGCTGTACATATTGCAATTTCACAGTTATGATGAAGATTTGATCAATCGAACACTCAAAGAGTGGAGTTGAGTTGCTTGGTTGAATTCCTCTTTTTTCCCCATCAAAGTTGCTGGAATTCCTCTCTAATTGAATGCATCTTGCTGTACATATTGCAATTCACAGTCATGATGAAGATTTGACCAACCGAACCCTCAGAATGGAGTTGGTTTGCTTGGGATTCTCCCAAGCCTAACAGTTCGAGATTAAGAGAAAACATGAAAGAGAGTTTGATCCCTGGTCCTACTTATATTGAAGCCTACTAATAGAGATGAAAGAGAGAACTGATGAGGGTGGATTTTGGGGAATAAAAAATTTGGTGTCATTTTCATTATAATTCAAGATATTTTGACGCCCAAACAACTTGCTAACTAAATGAGAAGAATATATAGTTTTTTTAATTTAAAATATTAACAACTTCATAGAGTTTAGGCAATTACTTCCTAAATAGAAAACTAGGAAAACATATGAAAACAATAATTCTAATAAAAAGATAGCCAGAAATGAGCTAGACGAACTCTATGGATCCAATCTAGGCCCTACCCTTCGACTCCAAAGGTTGGGCTTTCCTGTTGGCGGCTTGTTGGCTGCTAATTATGATCCTTGTAGATTAGGACGAGGCATCAATGTACCAACTTTCTACAATCTGATCCTGGTTCTCACTTAACATCTTGGAGCCAAGACTCCATGTTGTTAAATCCTAATAAATGAACACAACTATGCTTCAATAAATCTTTGCTTAGTATGTAGGTGTAAATCCAGCCAGGCCGAAGTCTCAAGCATAGATTGATGAGATTAAGATCTTGAGTATCACCTTAGAGTGAAGGCTCCATGCTATTAAAACTCTTGAGCTAGCCAGGGCTTGCTCTTCAAATATTATGAAGTATTTCATTTTAATCTTTAGTCTTTGTGATGCTCCTTAAATATGATAACCCATAGTTGCTAAGAAGGATATCTTGACGTCACAATTAAAATTTCGTGACTTAGAAGCCACATGCCACAGCTAGTTTGGTGGTTTAATTCTATTATGGCAAGCTAACATGGTAAATTATTATGGTATTTCTAAATGATACTAGTGTTCAAAACATTGAGATTGGAGATTTCTCGCTAATCATGAGCACTTTCAAATTTATCTTTTATATTATTAAAATTCTCTTGAAGCACAGTTTGGAAAAGAGCACTTATATGATTTTTAAATGCAATCACACGTTAATCTGTCATATTGGTGTACTTGATTTATGGTCCTCCGCTCTCCAGAATTATTGTCTCAACCTGATGAGGTGAACTTTTTTTTTTTTTGCCTAATTACCTTTCCCAAGTTTGATCGTATGGATAACAGGGCTGCTTGTTCCAGTTGTTATGAGTATTGTAAAGGACAGTATTTCTGTTGCAAACTGTCACTTGCAATAATTCTTTGGTGCAAGGGATGCTTTTTTTATTTCTTTTAGTTCAACTAATTGCTTCCCCAAGTACTGCATTCGTAAGTAACGTCTTGTTAATGGAATGATTATTTTTTAGTTCTGTAAGCAGACATCAGAGTCCTTGACAGGAGATGGGGATGATGATGAGCAAGAACTGCCTGAATCTTCGACTGATAATCAATCCAGTAAGCTTTCATCCTCTACTTCTTTGACATCAGTAAGCCCTACTCCTAAGCATTTGGTAAAGTCTACCAATTCCAACTCCTTACGGCATAGGGGACAAACCGAAAACCCTCTTGCTCAATCAGTTCCCACATTCTCCGACTTCAAAAATGAAAATATGAAGCCCTTGGCCGCAGTTACCAAGGCTACTGCTCGTGTGCAGCCAAGAAGTTTTGCACGAAGCAAGAGCTCCATTGAGGATGCAGAAATCTCAAAGGAAGATCGGTCCCACTGGTCCAACATTACGAGGAAAAACTCATTTACTCACGCTGAGTTGAAGGACTTGTCTTCTCTCGATTCTGAGAAGACTTTTCATGATATCCAAATGAGCGGCGAGTTTAAACAGTATGTCAAGAAGGGAAATGGTGCAAACCATGGTTCTGGAGCTGCTATGGGAAAATCAAGAAGCTCCATAACTCCAGAGAACCTTAAAAACAAAGAAAAGTTTGAAAAAATTGTGAACCAGAAGGAAGATTCACTGGATATTGCCATTGATGATGACGAATTTGAAAGTGCTTATGCTGAAGGAAACAATCTGATTATGGATATTCCTATTGACTCTGATGGTGAAAAACCAAGGCACAGCCAATTATCAGGTGAACCTGAATCAGAGAATGGCGACCTTATGAGGCCACTATCTCATCTAGATGGTTCTAGTATCATTTTTTCCAAATTCAACTGTGCTAGAAATGCCGAGGACTCCGCAGAAGAAAGTTCAGGATCATTGAACTCACATGGTTACCATTCAGTTGGTTATACACGGGAAGCATCGGATATTTATGGATCTTCTGATTTTACTGCTGATTGTACGTCATGGAATTCTCATTCGCTAAGCCAGATAATGGATTCTGAAGCAGCCCGAATGAGGAAGAAATGGGGAAGTGCTCAGATTCCTGTCATTTCTGCCAGCGCCTCCCAACAATCTCGCAGAGATGTAACGAAAGGCTTCAAGAGATTATTAAAATTTGGAAGAAAAAGCAGGGGTACAGACTATCTAGTAAATGATTGGTTCTCTGCTTCAACGACCTCTGAGGGTGATGATGACCCAGAAGATGGACGTGATCTAGTACACAAGCCCTCAGATGATTTTAGGAAATCAAGAATGGGTTACAGTACTACATATGATGGATTCAATGACGGTGACATCTTTCCAGAACAAGGTAAACGTGCTATTTTTTTATATGCTCTCACCTATTCAATTTCTTGTTTGATTTCAACATTTTATTGATAAGAACTATGCTATCCAATTTGTTCCTGTTTAAGCCGTATGTTTCTTGCTTTTTGTTACGAATTAATAATGTTTATGCTGCTTTGCACCGGTTTTTAAGTACACAATAAAACTACTTAGATTTCAATGTTGGAGTAAGGCTTCATTTGGGACGGCTTTCTTTTTGCTTCTTAAAGCAATTTTTTAGTATAAAATTTTTATTTTTTACTAGAAAGCTACTTTAAGAAGCTGAAAGAAAGCCGTCCCAAACAAAGCCTAAGACTTTTCTCAATTTCCGATGGCAATATAAATTGTTGTAGTTAGTTGCTTACTGACATTTCATTGTTTCTAACAAACAGAAAGCCTTGAAAATCGTAGGAACTGCAACAAAAAAACATGTTTGATGGTTGTAGTTATTGAACTGCATTTGGCTTAACACTGTCAACTCATTTGTCGCATTATTATTTTTTTTTTAGTTAAATGTTTTGTTCATTTTATTTGCATTTTCGTTTTGTGTTGCATTGGCTAGTACAATTATGATCGAGCTGCGTTAACAACTTTACCGTCCTTGACGGGTGCTTCATAAAAATTGTTTGTTAAATTTTGTGTTTAACATATTCTCTAACTTGTGATGGTAATAAAATTTCAGGTTGAGGGAAATTCAAAAACTGTTGAAAAATGTCTATCGATCAAGTCTATCTAATTGCTGTTAGATATAACTGAAAATTTTTCCCCTGTTTCCTTATATTGGGTCATTAAACACCTGAAAATCTGAAATCATTGCGCGGAGAAAATGAATAGAATTTTGTTTTAGTGCAGTGATAAAAATTCGCACAATGATCACAGTTTGCTAAGAACAACTTTTGGCTGTTCATCTTCATCTGTTTAATAACTGCTTGCCTGAAGCTTTAGGCCAACTCTGCTTCATGTTTTAATATGCCCTTAGTTTTTATTTCTTTGTATTTCTTTAATAGACTTTTTGCTGACTGACCTCAACTTTTCAGTTTCTTTGATACTTCATAGTTACCCGGCATGCTATTAAACTGATTGTTGCAATTTTTTTTTTTTAATCATTGTTACTTACTTATCATGATCAATACAGCACAATCAATGGGCAACTCGATTGCAAACCCTCCAAACCCAATGAAACATCAAAGTTGGCGGTAAGATCAAATTGGTTCATATTTAATGAGTTTAAAGCCAAAATTAAATATTATAAAATTTTAAGATTTAAAATATACACACTTAAATCTTGATACTACTTTGGACATATACTTTTTATTCCATTTAGAGATCATGCGCATACATTTGATTTAGCTTCACTACTAGTGTTTATTTATTTATTTTAATTAACGTGCTTTTGAATTTAAACTTGAAATATTGCAGCACCTCGCTCATTCTTCTCCCTCTCATCATTTCGAAGTAAGGCAGGCGACTCTAATAAGCCCAGGTGACTTCTGCCAGTATAATTAAACTTATATATATATACTATGGCTAGATCATGAAGCATTTTAATAATGTGAATTTTCTTGAAGATCTACCTCCCCAGCTTTCAGTTTACAAAACTCCTTATGATTGGTTGTTCAGGCGATTTGATTTTAATTTGTGTGCTTGTATCAATTTTGTGTAGAAATTCATTAGGTTAATTATCCGCTTTGTATGAAATATTGTTTATGGTTGCTTTCTCATCAGGTAATCCTGCTCATAAATGTATTACAATATATATAAATATGTGAGCAATTGTGAAGGCTTATTAGTCTTCTATTTGATTTTGTACAAATCCAGAAAAGAAAAATCTGGCCCCTTATTCTTTTCCTTGTTTCTATCTCCATTGCTGTGATAGTTATATAGTTTCAAGGAAATTGCTTTTTTGCAGTGCAGTTATAACTTTAGAGTTTAGATATTTTATTTCTTTTAATAGAAAACAAAAAAAAGATTTTTGTCCTTCAAACTACAAAGGCATTTTATGATTTTATAGTTATTGCATAGTGCTTCCAGAATATTTCATTATTTCCGGCTTCAAGTTTTAACTTTTGTTTCGTTTGGGACGACTTTCTTATTGATTCTTAAAATAATTTTTTAGCATAAATTTTTATACTATAAACTAGCTTTAAGAAGCAGTAAAAAAGCCGACTCAAACGATGCCTTTGAAAGTCATCTTATTCATTAATCCAATGGGTAATGTGAAAATTCAAGAGGTTAATCCTCATTGAGGGTATTTTTATACAAAAAGTATTTTGGAGGATTTTTTTTTTCCAAATTGGCAAATTATGAGATAAAAATTCAAAATTTTTCATCACACAGAATTCCATTTCCCATAGTGGGAGAAGACATTAATATAATATAAAAATATGAAAGATATTTTTTATGTTGGAAGGAGTCTTGGGAGGTTTGTCTAGATCACTATCCACTTAAAGGGGAGATTAGGCTATCAAAATGGTGGGCATTATATAATGATAGTTCATTGACATTAGATGATGGTCAACTAAGAATTTTTTGTGATGGTCAATTATTTATTTGTTTGGTTTCTTTATAATAGAGAAGAATGATGACTTAGAAATTAAGTGTAGAATGTCGGTGATTAATACACATCGGATATTAGAAATCGGACAACAATCAATTAGGGATGATAGTTGACCGGGAAGTTTTTATATTAGACAATAGTTGATTGTTTGCTTGATCATTATCTAATTGAAAGGCATGATCAACAACCAAGAAAATAAGTGTTAGCATTGGTAGTTAACATATGTCAGATAATGGCAAGTGTTCAATGATTGGCAACTTATAACATTAGGTATGACACGATGATCGACGGTTTGCATAGTTATTTTTCATATATGAGGGAAGACTAATGACCAAAAAGACAAGTGTCAGATGTTGGTGATTGATAGACATCGATTGTTAATCCTTGGTATTAGTTGGGCAACATTTTATTTGGAACCCCAGAGGTTAGGCGAAATGACGTAATATAACCCATTCTTCTACTTATAAAATGGGAGACTAGGAGACCATGAAGAAGATGTTAAAAATTAGAAATCGATGGATTTCATATAATGATGATGGTGGTAGTCAACATTTGACAATGGTGAGTCTCAACATTGGGTGATGACCATTGTAGTATTGGGTAGCAATGCGTGTCTATGTTAGGAGACAACAAGCTTCGATGCTAGTAAAATGTGTGCATTAGGTGTTTAGGGTCAGAACTCTATAATTCTCCATTGTTTAAAAATTATCTCCTCTTAAGTCCTCTCATGGATCCCCCTTCATATATAGAAATAAATCAAATTTATTAATTTCCTTACCGATGCAGAGGGGGAATGCTATTTATTTTGAACAAAAAATTAGGGCATTCCTACTAGCAGTTCAAATATTCCTCCTAACCATACAATTCCTTTAGATATATTTAAACTGTATTGACAGTAAAATTGAGCATTTTTAAACTCGTTAGATTCATCTCGCTGAGCTGCTCATTTTGACTATAACAATATGAAAATTGAAATTATTTGGTTGCAATTATTTAGATTTCAAGGGCATTTTAAATATAGTGTAATGTCAATAGATTATTTTTATGTGTTTAGTTTGAGATAAAATGAATTTAAATTAAAAAAACTATGAATATGTCATGTGTGTGTCATGAAGGTCATGTGAGTTAGCAAGAAATTTGTAAATAGGGTTGAAGGTCACAAAAGATTACAAACATCTTCATGGAGGTTGTATTGGCCTAGGTCGCAAATGTCACTAACATCATTGTAGAGTGCACGCATGTCTTTGTTATTAGAGAGGTTGTTGGGGTCAATAAAGGTGTGAATGTCACAAAGGTCACTATCAAGGAGAGGTATCACATGTGATGATGAGGTTCATTCATAGTTTGTTTGATTTTGACAAATTTGAAATACACCAAAAATGAATTGAGGAGGAATTCCAAATCCCCCAACAAAATAATTTGAATTTATTCTTTTGGGAATGAAACACGTGAAATTATAGAATCCATGTATTTGGTATAGTCAACAATCGTAATACATTCAAATGAACAACCTCTTAGCCCCTCAAATGATTTTGTAAAGTCTCCATTTACACTTCGAAGTGCTTAATTTAGAGTCATTGAATTCCAATCAATACTTTCTTGAAATCATTGATTTTTTCTCATTAAGGTTTTTTTTTTGCAATAAGTTTACTTAAAATGGAGCTCATATAATCTTGGTGTTAATTCTAAATGTTTTAGGCTTGAATATTTTGAATGCTTATTGATTTGAGAATTGTGTTAAGATTAGTTTTTGATCAAATTTTATTTTTTTATATATCAATGTCTTCCACACAATTCAGGATGGAAATTGCAAAAAATTTAGAAAAAGGCTCAAAATATGTTCTAGAGGCTCTTTTAGGCTTAATATTGCTAACCTTAAGTCCAAAGTGGTCCAAAAATACAAAAAAGGCCTATCTTGGGCCAGAAATATAAAAAAAGGCCCATCTTGTCCCAAACATATGAGTGGATAGCATATGCTAATTGGCTGCTGCTAGCGGCGACCAAACTGCAGCAGGCAAAGGTTGGCAAGCTTTGACATTTTATTATTATTATTATTTCATTTTAAAATATGATGTTACTATTTTTTTTTCTTTTTCTAAAACTTTTAATAATCCGTATGTCGAGGCTTTAATAATCTTTTAAAAATAGGATGTAACATCTTTGTCGGATGGAATAGATTAAGAAGAGATTAATTTGATGACTTGTCATCTTGTAATATTACTTGTTATGAATCTATATCAATATTATAAATTTATGTTAATTGACTAAACCCTATAATGATCATTGAGTTATAGTTTGATTTGATTTTGCGATAGTGTAAAAGAATAATTTTCCTTTTTTAATATTTCTATCAAGAAAATAGAATAATCAAACTTGACAACAATTAAAATGATGTTACATACATAATCTCTAATATTACAATTGAAGTTATAAATTCAAACCCTGAATAATACATAATTGTTATTAGGGGCATAAACGAGTTGAACCGAGTCGAGTTTTGGCATTATCGAGCTCAGCTCGTCAGTCGGAAAACGAGCTCAAACTCGAGCTCATCCCACTATAAATGAGCTCAAGCAGGCACGTGAGCCTCGTCGGCCGTTGGCATCCGAGCGAGTCGTCTGCCTCCGCCTCCTCTAGCGTTTTCCCGCACACGATCGTGGAATTTCTTGTCGGAAAAATTCCCACTTATGGAACTTCCGCCTTGATTTCCCGCCTGTGGAGCTCCGACTCCGTTTGCGAGTCGCTCGACGAGCTCGAGAGTTGAGCGGTATGTTGTTTGAAATCAAGATCGATAAGCCATCGAGCTTGAAAATTTATTCGAGCTCAACTCGCCAGCTCGATAAGCTCGACTAGTCCATCCTGTAACGAGTCGAGCTCGAGCCGGCTAACGAGTCAGCTTGACTCAGTTACACCTGTAATTTTTAGCATTACTATGGAAGTCATAATAATAATATAGTATTAACCACAGTTAACACTATCCAATATTGAGAATCATTACAAACATTGCAATATAATTCAAGATTTATGATTGTAATAACAATTGAATCCATATTGATAAGAACAAAAAGATTTCAATATATCTTTACATATATAATTCCTCATCGTCCTCATCATCTTCTTCATAATCTTATTTTAATATTTTTCATTTTCATCTTCTCTCTCATTTTCTCCATCACTCAAAACATTTTGTTATTATAGCTCCTTCAGCATGTATTAATGATTATACAATCTCTTTCCACTCGATTGGTTGCCTCAAAATTATTTCTCTCTCAACCTATATGACGTGGTAAGTCTCCAATCATATGTGAAACTTTCATTATTGCCAAGAAAACCATACACTTGTCCTTTGCCTAGCCTGCATTCATGTTTCAAACTCGAACTCATGCTATGTAGCATCATAATCCTATATACAAAGATCATAGCTCTTTCATGTTTTCACGTACATTAGGGATTTACATACATACCATCATATACTATTCTATTTACATATTTAACATCTAAAACTTTAATATTACATACAAACCACCCATAGTTCATTTTTATATCAAATATAAGTGGTAAAAATAAATTATATGAATGGTAGAAAGGAAATATAAGTGACATATTTGATATTAAAATAGTATAGAGTGATATGCATGTAATATTAAAATTTTGAATGCTGGATATGTAATTAGGATGTTATAAAGTTGTATGTATGTAAATTTCATATTAGCACGTATTAGTAATAACTTATTAGAGCACACTTTTTGTCAGCCTTGTTCATTGCATAAGGCATATATCATATAACACTCATATGCAGCAAATGTGATAACGACATAAATATTTGTTGATGGCCCCTTTTTTTAGGGTAAAGTAATTGAGTAAAATAAAGGCATAAATTTTGAGCTAAGTACATGTAAATTGTTATCTTTGTCATTGATAGGCATCCTATTAGAAATGTTAGGAATTTTTTCCCAAATGAGGAGTTGTCTATGGAAAAGATAATATCTTTCATTTTTTTTGAGTATTTGGTGGTGTGCTTGCCATACAATTTTGATGACTTTGCTCACCAACTTGACATGAAGTTTGTTAATGGTAGACACTCAATAGATCCTGCCCTATTACTTATGGCAGCTCAAGGTTGATTGGATAATCATCATAAAATGCTCTCATGCTAAAAATTTCAACTTTTATTATAAATATTTATCTATACACCTCCAAATCTTTTTTGATCATAACCAAGAAACCATATGAGAAGTCCAAGATTATGTTGCTCGAACTTCTCCTCCCAAGATAGCTTAAGGTTCCTCTATTTTCTCCTCTTCTCCTCTCCTTCTAAGAACAATTCTTGTAAGTTTGGTAGCTATAATCCCCAAGGGAAACAAGTTCGAATTTAAACAACTTTCTAACTATTTTCTTTATCAGACAATAACTACAATTTCATGTGAAAAACTATTTTCTGTAGTGAAATTACTTTATCTACAATAACTTCACAAAAACCGCTATTACCGTCTCAAACATACCCTTAATTTTCATTCCCAATGGTGCTTCTCATATCCTATTTCACATACATTCACATCAAATTTAGCAAATAACCTTCACATTAAGATAGGGTATTCAAATTATTGCCTCAATTCTAAAGCAAATCTTTTTAAAGTACTTAGTCTCCATCTTTTTAATTTTATTTTATCAGTTTTTTTTAGTTATTCATTTCTTACAGGTCAAGCTAATTTTCCTCCATATAAAGAGGCATAGAGTTTACCCACAGAGAGAGGGAGAAAATATTACAAATTTGCCTAAGAAAGAACAAAGATGAGCTTCATTCTTTTAGATCAAATATCACAGTGATAAGTATTCTTTCTAGCATTGAACACAATGAAAAACACATTACAAGTTCTATTTTTTTTTTACTTGATGAGATTATTTGTAAGGCCCAAATAGAATTGATGAATTGTGACCACCAAAGCCAAAAGAGTTTGACAGTGCAACCTTCACATTCAAATGCTCTTTCTTAGAGCCCACAAGGATACTTGTATCCTGAAGAAGAAGAAAAAATTAAGTAATCTTATCATCAGACCAAAAAACAAGAGTAATATCAACGAATGAAGTTCTTGGAGATAAACGTTCAATTAGAATATATGATGGTGTCTTATAGAGCTGCATATGATTCAGCCAAAATAATAAACTGCAGAGAGAGGAGAGACAAATTGATCAACTATCAAGAAGTCATGCATACAAAAAAATTATTCTATACGGACATCAGACGGTGTCCGGAGATCAACCAGAATGCACCACGTTACTTTTTTGCTCGGTACCGGTGCTTGGTACTGCTGTGTACCGGATGACGTGACGCATTCTAATTGGTCTACGGACCGTCCGGTATCCGCACATAATAATTTCTCCATACACACACGCAAACAAATAGGGCACAAAAATATAATCTTTCTCAAACCCAAATATGATCACTTTCAGCCTAAGAGAAGCACCGAATCTTTCAGGCAAGAAAATATAAAACTCTCCCAATGTCTTATTAAGTTACAAGAACTGAAGAGAGAAGGTAAACATGGAGATCTGAATAATATTAGTATGAAGATCTCTATAAGATGCACCTCATCCAGACTAACATGCTTGCTTCTAACACTGCTATGCTTACTCTGGCAACATTTTACTTGCACTGTGTCAAGATAATTTAATATGACCTTAATCAAAATTCAAAAGTGATGAGCAAGTGTTTATTCTTCTTAAACTATTTATCCCTCTATTTTTTCTTTCTTTTCTTCTCTCTCCCTCTCTATGTTTCAATTCTCACTCTCTTGCTTCTAACACTGCAATGCTTACTCTGGCACCATTGTACTTGCACCATGTTAAGCTAATTTAATATGATCATGATCAAAAGTGACAAAGCACAACAATTGGCATAGCCTACTCACAGCTAACTGGAATTTGCTTAGCAGCAGCATTATCTTGCCAAAACCAATTCTCTTGCATACTACACTATTTCACATGTAAACTTAATTGGTAGCACATGGCTCATAAATGAAAAATAATTTATTATGAGAACACATGATAAATGCAAGCTGACTCAAAAATCCATATATTATTATAATTGACTTTAGCATTCATCAAAAGAACATCAACTAAATCATCTAACCACACTACAGATATAATACGAAATCATCTAACCACACTACAGATATAATACGACTTGTCGTTATCATGTTCCTTCTTCCTCTTTAAAGCTTGACACTCTCTTTTTGTATGCCATTTCTTATTGAAATAGAAATAAATCACATCTTAGACCTACTATGAGACTTACTTTTATAATGCTTAAGGTAGGTCCCTTCTCAAAAGATCTCCCATTAACCAACAATCCCACAACCTACTTTTTATCTCTTGCACCCTCAAGTTTTAGGCTTCGTTTGGAACGGCTTTATTATTGCTTCTTAAAGCAGCTTTTTATACACACTCCTACTTAGTTCCTATGGCTCCGAAGCATGGTTGATTAGGTCTCCACCACAAGGTAGACGAAAGCTTTTAGTGTGAGGAGGATGAGGAAACCTATGCACGATACAGTAGTGCATCCATTACTGACTCTAAGGTATTTGATCAGGAAGTCTTATCTTATCAAGTACTTGATCTTTTCGTGGCTTCAACTCTTATGTTTGCTATTTGCCTCTCTTTTCAGTATCACATTGAGCTTCTTTTATACCGCTTTTCCAATCTTAGAATTACTACCAATCACACCACTATGCAGTCCTTAGTTTATTAGGGCCAGAACACCATCACTTCTGCTGATTTGCAGGAGTATCTTCACCTTTCAAACACCGGCCAATCCCCACATTTTATTTCAGGATCCATAGATTATAATTGGAGCACCGTTAAAACCACCATTAGAAACTCCTTATTACCTCAATATCAACCCTTAGTGAACACTAGTCATAAATGCACGTGTTATCCAACCTGTTCTTCTAAATAATGTGATTCCAAATACTAGTGACTGTATGAACATGATTCCTCTACTTTCCTTGGTCACCTACTTATGTATGACTGGTACCCTATTTAATGCATGTGACATGATCATTAGGTACATTGACAATCTAACCTCTATATGGAACCCTAGAGCCCATAACAAGCAAAACCTAGCTTTAGGACATCTCATTGACAATGTTTTAGAATTCAAATACAACCTTTTTTTTTTTTTTTTTTTTTTAATTCAAATACAACCTAATCTTCCATGTACTACCAGACCACATGCCTACCTTTTTCACAGACAATTCTTCTCATATCATTTATAGTGAGCATCTAGGGCCGCATCAGGAGTAGCTGCATCAGATTCTAAGAAAGAAGAAGCAGCAGGGGGAGCACCAGCACAGCAAGGTTGTGAAAATCGGATCGGACAAGGAACCGGAAGAAATTAATTCATATAATATACATTATATATATTATAAATTTATAATACAAATTAAAAAAACTTTACACCCAACTCAAATTCATGACCCAACTAGCCCAAATTTATGGCCCAACAAACCCAAATTAATGGTCCAATAAAGCCCAAACTCACATTCAAGCTTATATAGCATTCATATAACTTTTTTAGTCCCACATCATGAAGGAGTATGATATGATTTCCTTCTAGTTCTTTATATAGTTCCCTCTTTTCAAACAAAACTTATTTTATGAGATGACATCAATGTATTATGTTATTAAAAATCTCATTATTTAATAAAAAAAAATATATATTTAAAAAATGTAATGAAGTAAAATACTTTTATTTATATTGTATTTAAATTTTAAAAAAATAAATTCGCCGGTTGAACCGCCGGTTCAGGCCGGTTCTCTGTGAAGCCGGTTATTGAACTGGACCGGATCAGACAACTGGCCGGTTCACGGTTGAACTGGTTGAACCGGCCGGTTCGGTCCTAATTTTTAAAACCTGGCAGCATAGCTTCGTCCTTAATAAAGTAGACACCCACATCGAGCAATCCTCTCAGTGCTTGGAGCATATGCAGGGACAACACGAGGAAGATCATGCTTGGTTTAGCGAGCAATTACCCTCCCTAAAACATTACTTTCAGCCACCACCACCACCTGATCAAGGTCCCTCTTATGAGTAATTTGTGATGTTTTGTTATTTGTAGTGTGTTTGATTGTGCTTTCAATTTTTAGTATTTCTTTTGCTCTGTACCGTTGATGCAATCTAAAAACAAACTTTGCTCTAGGAATGCAGTACTAAATACACACTTATTTTTTCATTCACATAAAACCTAAATAACACAAATAAACACAACAATAAAGCAGTGCTAATACCACTAATAATTTATAATAGAACAAGACACAACACAACTTAAAACTTACAATAGTTTTAGAGAAGAAAGATACATGTTGAATGGGAATGGTATAGAGAAGAATAGATAGAAGTCCCAGACGAAATATAAGAATGATATGGAGAAGAAGATAGCTCGCAAGCTATGACAAACCTGCAGGTTTTGAATATCACTTTCCAAAAATTATTCAGTCTCTCTCTATTCACAAAGGAAATCATCCCCAATTTATAGGAGAAATAAGAGGGAACAACATTCAATAGTTCACGTAATTGTGCCACCAATAGGAGCCTATCAAGACAACCCATTTAATGTGAAGTTAAAGCACACAACATACGAAATAGCAAAAGAGAAATCTGAACAGCCACCAACAGGGAAAACTAATCCAAACAAGCAATCAGAAACATGGAAACTAAGGGACACTATGGAAACCAAAAAGCCAGCATGGGAAGACAAAGCAACCACATTGGAAGACCAAACAGCCACATGGGAAGACTAAACAACCATAAAAACCCCTCCAAATTAGTCCTTACCTTGACTATATCAATTCTCGCATGATGGAAGAATCACATCCCCTGACGAGAATGCCTCATAACTTCCATGATGTTCCAAATGCGCTATTTCTGATAGGAGACCATACTCTTGAATTGGAACTTCGACTTGTTGATTGATTTGACTATCTTTTTTTTCTTTTTTTAAAGAGAAATGAACACTCACGCAACAACCTTAGGCCTCAATACCAAATTGAAGCAAATTAGGTTCTAAAACAAGTAGGAGAACACTAGGAATGCAACAAAACACTTCCTTTCAATAAAACATAAACCAACACCAACTAAGTGAAACTTAATAGTAATCCGATATAAGTAAATGATTAAGAAATCTTGCAAAGAAACATACTAAAACTTAAAATTAATTAACCTCAAAACAACCTAGAAAGGTCACCTCACATGTAAAACCCAAAATAGGTAAGGTGCTCAAAGGAAAGGACAAATCGGTGGTTCACCACAGAATTTTGATCCAGCTCAAGTCGTCACTCCTCTGGCAAATACCAACAAACAGGGCCACAACAACATCTTGAAACTCCCAATATTTGGATAAGAAAGATAAAAGTGGAATGGGAAGGGTGATAAGTGTTCCTTTTTTATGTTCATCATATTTGTGACTTCCATGTTTCTAGTGGAATAAATCCTCCTTCCTCTCTAAAACTTAAGCCTTGGCTAAAGTCGAACCATATATATATATATATATCTTAGTATCATTATTTTATCTTGCTCGACTTATTTTTAGTTTTAATTTATTATTGCATCATACTTGGCTCCATTTGATACTTCCGTATTTGATTTTTGGTATTCTCATTACAACATTTAGTAATGGTAAAATAGAGTATTACTATCCCATCAAAGTTTGAAATTTTCATACTAATACCGAAGCAAAACTCACTAATAATTAAATAAGTTTACAAGCTACATTAAACCAAAAAGTCAGTAAGGGGAATCCACACAACACGAAAATTTATACTCTACATTTGTAAGCACTAAATTAAAACAAATTCATGGAGTTTTAGCAGATTTCAGAAATCCATCTGGAGCAAAGGAACAAAAAATTGAAAAATATACATACCACATTCTTATCTGGATTTTCGAGGTTGATATTTGGATGAACCAATCCTGTACGAATTGCCTGTAAAATTTGCACAAAACATCAAACAATGAGCACTACATATGTCCGTCGAAATGAAATATGGAACTTGCCATTAGATGTAGAATAGATTTCATTAGGCCAACGTTCTTATTAGATAAAGCATCGGTGAGGATGAAACTCGGGATGCAACAAAGGGACATGGAAATTCACCACATGCTCAAGAGAAACCAAGCAAATAACCGGAGAAAACAACAAACAACTGCAAAAGCATGCTTCAATAACGCTGAAATTAGCAAATTTACCAACTAAACAAACACAGTTTACAACAAGGCTCTGCTAAACAAATCCTTAATTGTTAGTGTAGCTTAATGTTGACAAAAGAGAAGATTAGGTAATTACAAAACCCAGGATGAACACTTCAAAACTTGGAAAAAAGAGCAGATTGCAAAAACTTTAGCATTTTGCATCATATATAATGACTTTTTTTATCAGATTGTAATAACCTAGATGTATTTTTAAGCCTGAGAATGAACAAATTCCTCAGGTACTGCTTTCAGCAGGATTAATAAACCTTAACATAGGTTGAAATACATCTAGGTTATTACTTAATTACTGAATGATGGAAATCTTTCATTTATTCAGAAAAATATCTAAAAATAATATTAGGGGAAAGCATCTTTATCAGCCGCCAACATCATAAACTAATTATCTATTAAAATCCTTGAGTTTAAGAGTCCAACACAAGTCATAAACAAATTATTTTCCAATTTCAATACCAAAACTATCTTGTTCAAAAAAATATTTAGAAATGTTGCATTCATTCATATACACTTACCAAATAGAGAAAAAATTGTTGCTCGAGAAATTACATGTGCCTTCATTGGCTACTCTCCCAGACAAAAAGAGTACTAATGCTAGCATCCACAAACAGGAAAGGTGTATGTCTCCACTAAAGATACTTTGAATGAAAAGATCGCTACTTTATTACTACTTACACTAAGAAAAAAATTTATTCATAAATGAGCTTTTTCTCCTAGAATGTCCTTCATTTCCCCCCATCCTAAAAAAAACTTTATTACAGGAACAGACACTCCTGCCCAAATCAAGCATATACCAAAATCACTTCCTACTTGATCATACCAGGTTTACTCAAGAAAAAAGCATCTCAATCTACGCAAATCTAATCAACAAAATCAATCCCTATCATTGACTCTATTGACAGAATCATTGAACCTATAAAAAAATAAAGGAATTTCCTCTAAGCATCCGTTGAATTTATTTTTATTATACAAAAGTCTTTTTCATAATAAATAATTATTCCTTGCTAACATGCAGACTATTTCTATTCCTAAAACAATCTCTAAGCCTTTAACGATGTGAATTAGAATAATGCTATGAAATTTGAAATTGAGATCCTTCAAAAAAACAAAATATGTGAATTGGTGAAATTACCAAAAGGAAAGAAATCAGTGGGATGTAAATGGATCACTAGAAAGGAATAAAGTTAAAACAACAGTCAAAGGCTATACTTAAATGTATTGGATTAATTATCTTAAAACATTTTCTACCGCAGTTAAAATGAGCATTGTTAGAGTTCACTTATCTTTAACAGCAAACAAAGATTTAAAGATAAACAATTCGATGTGAATAATGCCTTTTTATATGAAGACTTAGAGGAAGAATTACAGATAGAGGTGCCATCGGAATTTAGCTTAAATACAAAACACAAGGTACATAAGCTAATAAAGGAATTGCATCGGTTGAAATAACCTCCAACAGTGTAATTCAAAAGGTTTGTCAAGATAATGCTAAACAGAGGATACAAAAAAAGACAAGGATACCATACATTATTTGTGAAATATACGACTTCATGAGGAGCCTCTACAACATTATTTTATGTAGATGACATTATCATGACAAATACTGACTTGAAAAGAATGGAGAATTTAAAGAAAGTTTTCTCCAAAAAATTGAAGTCAAAGAACTAGAAAAGCAAAAGTACTTCATTGATAATGAAGTTGCACACAATCAATATGGAATCTTCATATCACCACAAAAATACCAAACAAAGCTACTGAAAGAAACAAGTTAGGATACAAACCTTTCAAGATCCCTATAAACTTTAACCATAAACTTGGAGATTCTTTTGAAGACACACTAGTATAAAAAAATTTCCCATCAAAGACTATGGGAAGACTTACCTACATTGTTGGCATGATAAGTTGTTATACTGGTTCAGGAGGGACCAGCCCAAGTTATAGGAGGCGGACATGTTTTGCCATCAATAAGTAGAGAAGGAATTAAGGGGGGTTAGGAGTGAAAATTAAAAAGAAGGGCCTGTTTTGACATTTGACTATGTTTTGTATGCTTTAAGTAGTTCGTTTATGCTAGGGTTCAATTTTTATGCATGTGTTTGCTGAAATTAGGGTTTCTAAGGTTGTGAGGGCTCTAGCCAACGGCTAGGGATTTGGGAGAACATGATCTTCCTCTCTAATTGAAGATTCACTTGTATCTTACTATTTCCTTCATAAATCTTTCAATAAAAAATGGCTTGAGTGTTTCTATTCCTAGTTTTCTTGTTGTATGTTCTCTGGTTTTGCTAAAATCAAATTTCAGCCTAGGATTTTCTAAATTTTTGCATCCACTTCCTATCAAATTTGTATCAAAGCCGTTTCCTGGGCTGAAATAGAAGTCTTCCTCCCTGAATTTTGTTGTGTTTCCTCTCTGATTTTGCTATATTTTGTTGTTTGGAGGACAAATTCGCATCAAAGTTGTTGTTTTGATTGCTAGTGGAGCTTAATCTAGATATCAACGGAAGAAAGAAAGGTAATAAAGAAACAAATAACTACAAAATCATGCATAATTGCCTTAATATAATTCTTCCTAAATTAGCCACCCAAAATATGGAAGGAGATCAGCATGATCCAAGTGAGCCTCCCATGAATTCCCATCCTGGTAGAATCAACGACCAATGGACAGTTGGGATTTTAACAAAATTGAATAATGCTAAATATAAATATTTAAAATATGATAAGATAATATATATTTTAGTGCATGTTCTTTGGATATTATCTGCTACTCAAAGAGTTTATACTAACTCGGATCATGAAACTTTGAAATATTCGAGTTCCGAAAAATTTGAGACATAAACAAGCTAAATGAACTGACTTTCTAAAAGAATATTCATGTGTTCTAAAATATTGTGTTGAGTCTAGAAAAAAAAAACATACTGAAATTTTGCCTATGAGTTTTTTTTTTTTTCCATCTATATATAAGGCAGGTTAAGCTGAATGTTTTTGATCATATAAAAGAGGAATGTCACTTTTAAGGATTTTGAATAGATTTAACAAGATTTAAAAAATGGCATATCTTTGATTAATAAAGACTAAATACTTAAAGATGTTTTATTTATTTGAGGCATCTTTATGTTCTTGATTTTTTATTCTGGTATTTTTTAATTTTAGGATTACATGTTGGGGTGCTAATGGATATTTTGGTAGAAATAAAGACCATTGCAATGACTAAGGATAGATATTTCTAGTCAAATCAGGAAAGAGATCTAGCATGTATTTTTCACAAAGAGAAACTTGTCTCTCTCCTAAAGCTAGGAAGCAGAACATGAGGTATAGACCTTTACCAATTCCATATAAATCCCAGGAGGGTTAGCATGAATTTTGTATTAAATTTGCCACAGACACTGAGAAGGCACTATTGTATTTTTGTAGTGAAATATTCATTTTCAAAAATGACATATTTCACACCATGTCATAAAATGTTAATGCATCTCAAATTTTTAAAAATGAGGTTGTACACACCTTAAATTTCTAGTTATTAATTTTTAGTAGAAAGCCATTGGTTTTCAATCTAAATTTGTTTAAATTGTGTTTAATTTTCATTGAAGGCAGTGAACTTTAAGATTAATTGCTTGTAACAGATTTTGCATGCTTGTTGAATGGTTTTAAATATATCATATTATATCTGTATTAGAAGCTATAGACCTGAAGTCGTCCAATATAAAAAAATATTTCATAGGTAATTATCTTCAATCATAGAATGAAAGCCAATAGAATACCACATTACACTTACCTGTATTGTGGCAACAGCTTCTACCGCACCTGAAGCTCCAAGGAGATGACCGATCATGGATTTTGTAGAGTTGACTCTCAGCTGCAAAAACATGATATTACTACACAGGCTAGGAAACATCAATTTTTTCGAGATTGTGCTCAACCTCAGGATTCTGGCCAAAACAACGGCTGAGAGCTTGGTACTCTTTCAAATCTCCAGCAGGTGTCGAAGTTGCATGAGCATTTACATAGTTCACATCCTCTCTGGCTATCCCATATTCTGATAGAGCCTTTTCAATACACAGAATAATCCCAGCCCCTGATTTCCAGAATACCGCACATGAAAGCACTAACTGTTAGAGAACCAATGTATACGAGAAATTATTCTGTGTGGATGTCGAATGCAGTTCACCGTCCGGAGAACAACCAAAATGCACCACACTAGTAACACCGAGTCGCGGTACTGAGCGGGGGTGACGTGACGCATTTTGGTTGGTCTCTGGATGGTGTTCGGCGTCCGCACATAATAATTTGCCAATGTATGCAGCACAAGTAAAACGTACTAGATACAATTCACTTTAACAAACTAACAGGTTTAACGGTTTTACCCTCAGGATGTGGTTCAGTCATATGATATGCATCACAGGTGAAGCATCCCCCTAAAAACTCAGCATAAATAGTAGCTCCTCTTTTCTGTGAAAGGAGATGAAATAGTAAAGATAGAAATTTAACAACTATTTACTAGAAAATGAACAAATTTAATCACAGGATTAAGAATCGGCATTTATTAGAACCTTAGCATGCTCTAGATCTTCCAAAAGAAGTACACCAGCTCCTTCCCCCATAACAAATCCATCGCGGTCCTGAAGTAAACCATTTAGCATACAAGTTAATACCAAATAAAAGTTTCTTACAAATAGTAAATTTCACCAATGTCCCATCTGAATGGCCAATATGCAAAAAATAAGACACTCTCAAATAGTTTGTGAACATCAACATTTTTTTTTT